ACAATCATTCCACTCAGCAACTGATTCATCTCTTCTCCGGGATTATAATTATATATTGCTCGCGCATATTTTTTGTGCGCTGTATTTGATTATGTAAGCCCAGGAGGGGACTTATCTGGATGAGGGTGGGAGTGTTATATCACCTTGCCGATATATAATCCAATGACTGAATTCTTGTAATTCTTTATAATTTAAGTGTTGTATTTATTCTTAAATATTATTATACCTAAGTTTTGTATATGAATTGTGAGACCGCACAGGGACTTAAGAAAAGGGTGAGGATAACCTGATTTTCCTCATCCTTTTGAGATGTAATTTTTCTTTTGTCTCAATAAATGTGTCAAAGTCAGCCAGGTGTTCTGCATACTCTGTGGTGGTTGTGATAGTCTACATAGGTGAGTGCACGAGGATTGCACAAGCAACGAATCAGCCAACACCGCAGTGCTCTCCGACGTCACTACACGATAAGCGCCTCCAGGCTAGTACAGTGGTAATGTGCCGTCCTCTCATCCGAGGGGTCGGCGGCTCGCGCAATTGTCGCTCGGAGGTTACTGCTGTGGCTGGGCACCGCGGTGGGTAAGGACTAAGCTCTGTCGCGTCAGCACTAGCTGACACACGTTGATCGAGTCGACATTAGTCGGCACAGGCCGGGCGAGGCTCAGCTTCGCATATCGGACTTATCCTTATCCTTACTCTTGTCATGTATGCCCTGACGAAGCATTAGCGAAAAGGCCTTCGGCATATTCGTGTGTATTCTTGTCCTTCCCTTCGTTGTTCCTGTTGCTATATATATATATATATATATATATATATATATATATATATATATATATATATATATATATATATATATGCACACACACACATATATATAGGTGTGTGTGTGTGTGTGTGTAGATAACATACCTATACCTCATCTATCCTCCAACCTTTCGACTCCCACTCTCCCTAAGTGAAGTGTTTGCTGACATCACTCTTCCTCCTGTTCCCCTGCTCCCCTTCCTCACACTCCCTCCTAAACGATGGCGTCCCCATGTTTCTTCATCCACTGTCTAACTGCATGTAGCTCGTGACGTCACGACGCCTATCTCTTAGAAATGCACTATACTCTTAATAAATTTCTGAAATTTGATTTATATAAAATGTTACCAAAATAATTGTTTATTAAATTTTCGTTCCTTATATGGAAATACTTGTTACGTCCATACTTGTGCCTGCGCAGCCATCTACCGTCAAATTTGACAGTTCGCTTGTCAGACTCAGTTTGCATTGCTCGTTCCTAAAGTGAAGGTTATTTGCAGTTCTACTTTTGTTCCCGAATTATTTCCCGATATTCCGGTGAAAACGATATCTTAACGAAGTTACTACGCTATCGGTCATAACAAGAAATTCATTGAAATACAATAACCGTGTTCCAGCTGCAGAACTACGTCAGGGGCGTCCGTTGCTTCCCAGCCACCCGCACTTCAACACTAAGGTAAACTCAGTTCGTATCCTTCAAATGCATAGTCAAAAGTGGCGATCGGGAGGGGTCTGTGGGCAGCGCCTCCGGTAGCGAAAATACGGCGATGGGGAGGGTGTCCGGGGTCAAAACTCTCAATAGGAAATCGGGGTGAGTGCGGGGATAGGGAAGTACGGCGACTGGGAGGGCGTAGCTCCCGGGTTATGAAGGTTTTTGGTTCAAACGGCTTTGTGGTAGTTTGTACATTTATGATGTTCATTCGCTCCTCCGTTCACGCAACGCTGTGTCGAATCTGCCGTGGCCGATTTTTTTTCTGGTGTGTCTATTTTCCACTTTCGTTTGTTTGTTAGGACACCTACTATGAGCGAAATCTCCCTCCAAAAAACGGAAGAAAGAACGATTCACGGGGCTCCCCAGAAAATTTGTGGCTTGAGTCGGGTACTCTGGCGGATGCAGTCTCGTTGTAAACATTTACCAATTATTTTATTAGTATTAAGAATAATGGAATATTATCAGGCATGAATTTTACGGTGCTCACTGCTTGTTCAGTCTCTTACCTATTCTATTTATGTACTTGTGTGTGGGAAGGGGGGGGGGGGCTTGTGTGTGTGCATTGTATAATTGTCAGACAGGAAGGGCATAGCATTAGCGTTTGGCAAGTTGATGGGCAAATAACAAATCCTTTTTATTTGTTTTTATTGAGAAAAGCAATGGTACTACCACATACATTTTTTCTCACCATGTGTTTCATTTTGATGTTAATTTGTTTTTGCAAGTATTGTGCAGTATAATTAATTAAGTTAAATTAATTAAGTGGGGGTCCCGAATCCCAGAAAGGTCGCAACATAATTTTGAGGTGTCATGAGATACTGTAACCCCTCCTCCTCTTCTTGTTCTTGTTCTTTTTCTTGTTCTTCCTCATCATCATTATCTCCTTGGTCTTGGTCTTGTTCTTCTTCTTCTTCCTCTTTTTCTTCCTCCTCTTCTTCCTCCTCTTCTTCTTCCTCCTCCTGCTTATCTTCTTCCTACTCCTCCTTATCATCTTCTTCTTCCTCTTCTTCTTGTTGTTCTTCCTCCTCTTCTTGTCCTCTTCTTGTCTCTTGTTCTTCCTCCTCCTCCTCTTGTTCTTCTTCCTCCTCCTTCTTCTTCTTCTTTCTCTCCTCTGTCTTCTTTCTCCTCTTCTTCTTCCTCCTCCTCCTCCTACTGCTTCCTCCTCTTCTTCTTCCTCCTCCTCGCTACTCCTCCTCCTCCTATCATCCTCCTCCTCTTCTTCTTGTTCCTCCTCCTCTTCTTCTTGTTCCTCCTCCTCCTCTTCTTCCTCCTCCTCTTCTTCTTCCTCTTATTCTTCCTCCTCCTCTATTCTTCTTCTTCTTCTTCTTCTTCTTCTTCTTCTTCTTCTTCTTCTTCTTCTTCTTCTTCTTCTTCTTCTTCTTCTTCTTCTTCTTCTTCTTCTTCTTCTTCTTCTTCTTCTTCTCTCTTCCTCCTCCTCTTCTTCTCTCTTCCTCCTCCTCTTCTTCTCTCTTCCTCCTCCTCTTCTCTTCTTCCTCCTTCTTCTTCTTCTTCTCCTCCTCTTCTTCTTCCTCCTCCTCCTCTTCTTCTTCTCCTCCTCCTCCTCTTCTTCTTTCCTCCTCCTCCTCCTCCTCCTTCTTCCTCCTCTCCTCTTCTTCTCCTTCTCCTTCGTCCTCTTCTTCCTCCTCCTCTTCTTCCTCCTCCTCTTCTTCCTCTTCTTCTTCCTCCTCTTCTTCCTCTTCCTCCTCTTCTTCTTTCACCTCTTCTTCTTCTTCTTCCTCATCATCATCTTGCGTCATAAACCCACGGTATATATATATGCTTTCTTCTTGTAATATTGATAATAGTTGCTACTTTGTTGCTAGGGGACTGGATTGCGAATCTAAGTAATTGGCAGTGGTCGCAGCCAAAAGCAAGTTGAGAACCCCTGGATTAAGAGAGAGAAAAAGAAACGTTGCATATATCTGTTTTCGCATTCGTTATCCGATGCTCCATGTGTCGGTAATAAAAAAAATATGAGAAATTATGACGAAGAAACTTGCCCCATGCTTTTTATTATGACGAAGAAACTTGCCACATGCTTTCTAACAGGCTTTAGGAGAAATTGACACTGAAATTTACAAAATATAGCATCTATTATATGTATTGGTTCGGAGCTTGGAAAATAGCTAGTCAAATTCTTGTTGATGTTTTACCTAATTTTCATTCGGTCATACAGATTACATGATGGATAATACAGCATTACGAATCTACAGTGAGTAGGATCAACATATTCAGTTAAACCGTATGTGCAGTTCACTTAACATTTGCAGTCAGCCTATGATTTCGAGGGCACTTTCTTCCAAACGCGGAACAGCTATATAAAACGTATTTGTTGAGGAAAATATTATGTTGAGTGATAGGTAAAAATATAATTATGTTATGATGCTTCAATCACTTTTGGGAATCATTAAGCTAAATTAACTGCTAGAAAAATGTTGGGACTTAAGTGGCACTGCCAAAAAGGCTTTTAAGTCAAAATTGTAGTTGTAAGATTTTAAGTAACAATAATACAAATATAATCAGACATATAATATTTTGATTTCTGATGCATCAGTCTATTTGAAAACTCTCTCTCTTTCTCTTTATCTTTAACTTCATCCTTATATCTCTCTTTCTTCCTTTCTTTATCTTTTTTTTTCTCTCTTTCTTTTTTTCCCCTCTCTCTCTTTCTTTCTTTTTTTTTTTTTCTCTCTCTTTCTTTTTTTCCCTCTCTCTCTTTCTTTCTTTTTCTCACCTCTTTCTTTTTTTTCTCTTTCTCTTTCTCTTTTCTCTTTTTTCTCTTTCTCTTCTCTTTCTCTTTCTCTTTTCTCTTTCTCTTTCTCTTTCTCTTTCTTTCTCTTTCTCTTTCTCTCTTCTCTCTCTCTCTTCTCTCTCTCTCTCTCTCTCTTCTCTCTCTCTCTCTCTCTCTCTCTCTCTCTCTCTCTCTCTCTTCTCTCTCTCTCTCTCTCTCTCTCTCTCTCTCTCTCTCTCTCTCTCTTTCTTCTCTCTCTCTCTTTCTCTCTCTCTCTCTCTCTCTCTCTCTCTCTCTCTCTCTCTCTCTCTCTCTCTCTCTCTCTCTCTCTCTCTCTCTCTCTCTCTCTCTCTCTCTCTCTCTCTCTCTCTCTCTCTCTCTCTCTCTCTCTCTTTTACTGTGCCTGTCTGTCTGTCAATCTTATCCTGACTGATAGTATTATGGAATTGAACATGAAAATATTAGCTTCATATGTATATGAGTCTGATATGCATGGAAAGCTTGAGAATTTAAACAGTGTATAGTTGGTTACCTATGATTTCATTCTATATAATTATTGATATATTGGAAATTTCTCTTCTGGATTTTTAACTGAGATCCAAGTGGTAAATCCTTAAATTAATAATTTAAGAAATAGAATAAAGAGTTGCAGCACGTTGTGTTTTACCCTGCCTGACGAGTCTGGAGCTAACAATACCCTACTTACAGGAAATCCATTACGGAAAATTAACAAGGAATTAAAATCAATAATCCAAATTTACTTTCTTGCATTTTATTTATGTATTAATATAATACAATTATAATACATAATATATTGCATTGTCTTAAGCAACATCACAAACAGTGACTCCTCCTTTACCAAATTTCCCTGAAGAAGAAAAAAAAGAAATAAAAAAAGGAAAAAAAAAAACAGTCACCTTCCTTGTGACCAAAGTTGTTGTTCTATTCCAAAATTATAGTCAATTTCTTTCCATAACCTGTGACATAAAATCGTTTCATTGTTTTTGAGAATTTCTTTTATATAGTACAATAAACATTTTTTTTTTTTTTTTTGCTCTTTTAGATTCTGAAGTGAGTTTGCTTCAACCAGCAGACTCCTTTTTGAATTCTGTCCGTCAATGACAAGAACTAGGATCACAGAATTCAAGCTGTGTTCTTGTGATAAGTATCTTGCATCTGTGAAATGGCAAGTCATATATTCTGTCAACTCTACCTGAAAGAAAATGCATCCTTAGCAATACCTTTTCCAAAACATTTATTCATCATAACAAATTGTATCACAAAAATGCAGCTTATACCAATACCAATATAAAATATACAGAATATTTTTTTAATCAGCATATATAGCCTTAAGAAATATCTTTTTTTTACAAAATACACAAGAAAAATCAGAGTAAGGATAAAACTGCTTCAATTAACAAAATATTCTGTACAACCTATATTGCCTTTGAGTTGCTGAGATACAAATCATTAGTGCACTACCATTGGGAACATTTCACTTTGACAGTTTACAAAAATATCTTGGAAGTACATCATGAAAGATACCTTTATAGAAATGTTAAAGTTTATGGAGCCCTTATTCTCTAACAACAATATCAAATAATGTAATATGTAAGGAAAGGAACATAACAATATTGCTGTTTCAAACTAGCCCTACCACTTTAATGCTTTATGAGATACTGTGAGCTGCACATCCATTCATGACCAAAATTAAAACAATCACTTGACACATGACCTAAAAAAAAAAAGAGAAAAAAATGCACACCTACATAAGGTATTTAAAATAATTTATATTAATCTTTATAATGAGCTAGCAATCGGTACTGATGCTAATGACTTACAGACTCAAGTGATGGCAAACGCAAAAATAAACCCAAACTGAAGCTGTACTAAAATGTAATATATAGTAGCCACTTCGTCATATATTTTCCCAGCATTATCATCATCCACTTTTATTATTTCACTTATCTAATTATTTTTCCATGATATAACAAATCTTTCCTAATCTGCCATACCAGTACACTACCTAATCTATGAGTACTACGTGCCTAAGTGAGAACACTGGCTCACTACTACTGAACTGGTCCTGACGCTATGGTGTTGGGGCCCCAGAAAGTTTAAGCAGACTGTGATACATAACACTTGTTATTTAACTATGTGCACTAAACCTGTGGCAACAATGAAAACCAACTGTCATATATTCAGGTTTATTTTTAAAAGTTTCTGTTTTTCTTCTATGAAACATTCTTCACTTTTCATAAACTAAGATGTACTGAAGTTGGTACTGTCAGATGATGCTCCACAACAGGGCTGGGAAATCTCATGTCTTTACAACCCATTATACAACACTGCTAAAGTGTGCATGGATGAATATTTAATGGCATTAATGGTATTTGACTAGACTGAATGACAAAAATGATGAATTGCACTTTATAAGGACATCTTTCAATTTATGAAATATGTTCAACCAGAAATCTTAATAATCTATAACCACTAGCCACACATAAAAGTGGCAAGCTTAAATACATATTAAATCAATTGTGTTTATAGTTTATTAATATTACTGGCCTGATCGTATTTCCATATCAGGAGATTTGGCAGTAATTAAAAAAAAGACATTTCTCTTAACTCTTCCTTGAGGTTAAGTTTTTGTAGAATGTCCCAGTGTCCCATGTAACTAGAAGTATGAACAAGGTGATGAATTACAGTCCATGGTATACAATAATGTCTAAACCATTAAATACAAAAGTTGACATCTATAGCATAAAATAAAGTACTACTATTCTTTGACTACGGAAAGCTCAGCTGAACATTTACTTCTGTACATTGGAGCTTTAAACTGTTGGCATGATTTCTGGCCCATACATAATTATATACCATGGGGTAAAATAAACAATGAATGTTTGGTGCTGGGAAGTAGAGGGTATGGAATGTAGCTATTATTATGTTCGGAAAGAAGATCACAGCACAAATTTGGGTTTTTCTCTTTTTTTTATTTCTGTTCAGTTTGTTCAAATTCATGCTGTGTCCTTACTGTTCCTATTAAAAGTGGTGAGATGATACATAATGTTTATCAGTAAACCCTGAATGATAACGGTTACTATTCAACAACCCTGTTCAACCTTGTTTAAAAAAAAAAAAAAAAACTATCAGATATGTATAAACAGGATGACTAATCATTACTACCTTTCAAGTAATTCTGACAACCATGAAAAGGCTACTATGAAAATGTTAACTTACATGAAAATGATATCAACATTCTAACTTCATGAAATTATAGGCTGTCAGAGACTTCCTTTCCAAATTCTTCTATGGGTACCTCAAGCATCATGCAGCGTTCAGGATTAAATTACAACCAACAAATAGCAAAAGAGTTTCCATAAAACAACATCGCTGAAGTACATTATTTTTCCCCTTGTTCATAAAGTGAAAAGCTGCTTATTGGTTTCAAGTTGCAAAAATTAGAGAACAAGGATGCAACAAATATCTTGCAGGCATGTAGGACTTGGTGGAGTATGTACACATGTCTGGATGATGCAGAGATTTCGTCATGGGTTCCTGGGGCCCCGCACAGTCTAAAGTGTGATTGTTGCCAATACAACAGTTATGTCATCTGGTTTACCACCTGCAATAAAAAAGGCATTGATTAACATTAGCAGTCTATATCATGAAGAACATTACCTTCCTTTAGAAAAAGTGACTTGAAATTCATATTTGACAGAATAAAGACCTATTAAAATAATAGTATATGTCAAATATTCAATTGTATAGGATGAAACGACACAGTACTTCATCTTGCCATTCACGAAACATGAAATATCTGTTTCAAGCAAAAAGTAAATTGATCTAGAGATGTCTAATCATCCAAGCTACAATTTCAAACAAATAAGCCTGTAAGTTTCTTTCCTACTCTGACTCACACAGGATTCAAATCATTCATTATAAATAGTTATCACCATTAATTACTGGCTTTTCGAAAGAAATGACTCGGTTATTCACCCTTTCACTTAACAAACTAATCCAATTATAAGAGCTATTATATATTTAGAAGGAATATGTAATGACTAACTGAATTAATTGCTTCGTTTTGCACCAATGGGCACTCACTACATTAATTTATCAAAGGTAAACAAATTATAAACATGCACATATCCTCGCCTCCCCCCCCAAACACCCCACTCATAAGTTTCGACACACTCCCAGATTACTGTGAGTGAATGAGTGAGTGCGTTCGTTTGTGAGTCTGCGGTTTGGTGTGTGCATGTGCTTGAGTTTGCGTGCGTGTGCATATAGGTGTACATGTGTGTCTAATATTCCATCCTTACCTATTGCATTTATGCCATTTTCTCTTGCGTTTCGGGCGAATGGAGACATATAATCTTCGTCGAAAGCCAATTTTCTGGCTTGCTGTGCGATCGAGTTGGCAGCTTGTTGCAGTAATAATAAATCTGTGGAGCCTTGCACTTTGACCATTTCTTTGACTATGGTGGAGTCAGGGAGGTTATCGAACACCCCGTCGGTGGCGACCATCAGCACGTCCCCCTCCTTCACAGAGAATTCTCGAGTCTCGGCGCTCTCGGGTCTGGAAGGGAAGAAGGCACCGTCAGTATCCACGCGAGGCAGTCCACCAGAGAGTGAAAGGATAGTCCAATCTTTTGATCAGATTCGAATTTGACGAGGTAGGAAATTATGTTCATTGGCATATGGAATAGGGAATTCAAATCGCCTACAGGTAAATTATCAAGGCGATTGTCTCTAATACATAAACATCATATCGTATCGCATATCAATGTAAGGAGATAAATACAGCACAAATGGAAATATCGATCTTGCAATGTCTTCCTTCGACCATCGACACTGACCTGTCGCTAAGGACCTGAGCGTTGGTGCCAGGAGGTGGGAGGGAGAGTTGGAAGGGGGTGTTGAAGTAGTGCTGCTGTTCCTGTGACCGGTGGACCACGGAGCCATCCCGGACGACCAAGAAGCCAGAGTCCCCGATGTTCGCCGAGTACAGCTGGCCAGCTTCACCCTGAAGGACGACAACACAGGCCGTGCTGCTCCCTGTAACCAAGAGGTTGGAAGTTTACACAGTTGTAGGTATATATGTACACATGCATAGACACACATACCTATAAATATCTAAAAAAAAACACTTAAAGGTATAATTTGTAAGTCGCAGAAAATCTTAAAAACTAACTTGGTAAACATGAGTACACATTATAATCATTATATAATATACTCAACGGCATTAAAACATATTACTATATTATGCTTTTAACCGCGTAGGCCAAACGCAAACACAAGCCACGGGATTGTTCAAACCAGGGGTCAGCCTGGAACTGAAGAAAGCAAACAAGAGCAACAGAGAGCGCAATGCCGTGGGAGTAAAGGCAGCAAACAAGAGCAACAGAGAGCGCAATGCCGTGGGAGTAAAGGCAGCCAACAGTTCCCAATTTAACCACAAAAGTCTGGGTAACCGACCTACTTCAAGGGGGAACAAGTGGTTGGGCAAGAAGTCGTGGCTGCCGGAAAGTGAGAGCGCCTGACGGAGGTGCTGAGAGAGAGAGAGGGGGGGGGGCATAGGCAAGTGGAGAAGAGGGTCAAGGAGTTGCTCTGGAAGAAAGAGTCGAAGCGAACAAGAGGTGGAGACGATGAACAGGACGAACTGGAGGAAAAGGCAGCGTCAACATTTGTCAGCAAGCAGGGGCTGGAAGGCTTTTCATGACTATATTAAGGAGGCTTTATATAGAAAAGTTAACAGTTAACTCTTTCCGCTGCCAGTGTGAACATGTCAAGAAGATTCTCGCGTCGGCCCGCTGCCGGCGTGGACGCGAAGTAGGGCTCAGGAGGAGGAGATGGCGGACTACTTAGAAGGACAGAGGAATGAAAAATAAAAACGAACAGATCGCATGAACGATAGCAAACAAAAAGGTCCCCATGAAGAAGTAAAGAAGTGAAAAAAGAGCGATAAGTCCGAACGCAAGAAAAGGAAAACAAATACTAGAAAGCAGAAGGAAGACCAGAAAACACACAGCAGAACACGGCGAGAAGTTCACCCCCTTCCCATGGCGCCGCAGCATCCCAAAAACGTACCCAAGATGTGCGTTTTGTTCTCCAGGAGTTCGTAATACGCCCTGGCGATGATGGCCGCGGGGTCGGACGCCGTGTAGCTCCCCGTCCTGACCAGACGCTCGCTGACGCGCATCAGGGAGTTGGAGAACTCGCCGGGGTCAATCCCCCAGGCCCGCCATCCGCCCACGCCGTCCGCTACGCCTGCAGAGAGAAAAAAACAGTTAGACTGGTCCAAGTAACACAGCAAAACGACGCAAAGTACTCGTCGTCCAAGTCCAAACAGAATCAGGGAGAGAAGGGACTCGACGCTACGCTTAAAGGGTGTCATCTGCCTTGCCTTTGTGATGAAAGGGGGAGGGAGTGGCAGGGGGAAGGAGGAGAGGGAGAAGAAGGGGGAAGGGGAGAGAAGAGAGAGAGAGAGGGGGGGTGAAGGGGGAGAAGGGAAAGAAGGATGAGGAAGGGAGACGAAAGGTATGAAGATGGGAGTCTAGAAAGGGAAGTGGAAAATGGCCACAGGCAGAGGAGGACGGAGGACAGGACAACACAGGTAGCAGTTGAGAGCAGCATTCCGGTGAATAATGTACGAGCAGTCCGGATGGGGCTGAGGGGAAGGGGGAAAGGGAAATATGGAAAGAGAAAGGGAAGAAGGTATCCAGAAAGAACGAGGGTAAAAGGGGAGGAGAAAAGGGAAGAAGGTGGGGGTAGAACACATGGGTCAAAATAGGTTAACGTTGGCTATTGCGATAAATGTACAAAAATATACGAATGGCAATGAATGCCATTTGTCCTTACTCATAACTTTCGTCTCAAATAAGTGGCACCACAAATGCACAAAAAAATATTTGGCCTCGATAAAAAAAAAATAAAAAAAATCAAAACAACAGGCAAGTTAACCCCTTCCCAAAAAAGAGAAAAACAGGAAAATAACACAAACAAACTACAACAAGGTTTCCCTACAACAGGTAATGGAAGCTGACTATTGCATTTCCCGCCGTGATGCCTCGGAATATTATCCATGTAAATTTTTAAACGGTGCACAACGAGGGAGGACGAGGAATGGGGAGAGGACAAGGGGGGGGGGGGGGGTAAGGCCCGAGGATGTTAAAGCGGTGTTGTCGCGAAAAGTAAAATGCACCGCAGCTGAATTTATTGTGTGCAGCTGAATTTATTGTAAGTAAAATGCAGCTGAATTTATTGTAAGTAAAATGCACCTGAATTTATTGTAAGTAAAATGCAGCTGAATTTATTGTAAGTAAAATGCACCTGAATTCATTGTTCCGATCCACCAACTATTTAGGGTCAATCTCTACCGGAATCGACGTAGTTTTATATCCACACCATTCGACAAGGACTGTATAAGAACATACTCACACACGAGAGAGAGAGAGGGGGGGGCACAGACAGCGAGGGAAACAGAGACAGACAGAGACTGAAACAGAGAGAGACATAGAGGCAGACAGACAGAGAGGGACAAAGAAGCAGACAGACAGCCCTTCTCTTCCGTCGGTTTTTCCGTAACCCAAACCCACACTGAGAAGTCCTGAGCCCAATTCATTAGCATCCTCTTCCCCACCCTTCGTAAAAAAAAATAAAAAATTAAAAAAAAAAAGATGAAAGAAAAGAAAAAAAACATTAGAAAAGAAAGAGAAGGAAAGTCAAATCGACCGAGGACTTATATCACTCCCAGAAGACTTTAGGAAGTTTTAGCTTGTTTGCAAAGTGTGTGTGTGTGTGGGGGGGGGGGTCCCCTCTCTGTCACCGGGGCAGAAACATGTGCACCATTTTTTCTTACTCGTCTACCTTCACATTCACTTCAGGCGTCTAAAGTCTCCCTACCCGTCTATCTATCTATCCGTTAGATTCCGTTTCTCTCTATCTGTCGCTCCGTCTGAGAATACACACAGCTAGAGGGAAAACTCGTGACTGAACTACCCGAATCATAATAAAACGAACAAGAAAAATACGTACAAACAATAACAACAAAAACACCAACGCCGACGCCATCGCCATCGTCACAATAACAACAGTACGAATAAAAAGGAAGAAAAACGACAAAGATGAGAGAAGAAAAACACCCAGACGCCCCAACGAGCGCACGCATCTGCACCCGAGAGCCCTAAACGAGGTGAAACTGCAGCATTCCAGGAGTCTTGCCCGTCGCCTAGATGTGAGTGACTCATGCCAGCCTCCTGCAACTGTGTGTGTGTGTATGCGTGCGGGTGTGCGGCTCTGTGCATGAGGCTCTCTGCATAAGACTCGTGTGTACATAAGGCTCAGTGCATGAGATTCCGTGTATGAAGCTCCGTGCATGAGGCTTTGTGTATGAGGCTCCCTATATGGCGCTCCGATTATGAGGTTCTGCGCATGAGATTCCATGCACGAGGCTTTGTATATTAGACTCCGCGAATACGGCTCCGTGTATGAAGCTCTCCTATGCGAGGCTCCGTTTAAGAGGCTACGAAACTCGCGCATGAGACTCGATGCATGAGGATTTGAGATATCCAAGGCTTCCGTTACGTAGTGCTGTTTTAGCCAGATTAATATTTGAAGGCACTGTTTCCCTCCCTCTCTCACAAAGGGCGCGCGTTTTAATAGGATTAAATATCAGCGGGGAGAGGAGAGGGAAGGGGAAGGGGAAGGGGAAAGGGGAAGGGGGGAGGGGAAGGGGAGGTGAGAGTGTGAGTGTGAGTGTGTGAGGGAAGGAGGAGGGGACAGAATAGGGAGAGTAAGAGGAAGATGGGAGAGAGAAAGAAGAACGAGACGGATAAGGAACAGAAAGAGGAAAAGGAGAAGAAGGGTAAGAAGGAGAGGGAAATATAAGAGAGAAATGACAGAGAAAAACGAGAGAGAAAGACACAAACATGTAAGGAAGGGAGCGAAGGACGCACAAACAAGGAGACAAATATAACGACCTTGAGAACAAAAATATAATGGAGCCTAATACAAGTCCATAAAGAACATAATAGATGTACTCAAGCGAGACCAACCGAAAACTCGGTCTTTTACTCTCTCTTTCTCCTTTCTCTCTCTCTCTTTCTCTTTCTAAACACATACAGACAAAGATAGATAGATAGGAGAGAGAGAGGGGGGGGAGGAGTCCTCCATTACTCTCCATCTCCTGCTCTCCCTTTCTCTTTCTCCCTTTCTGTCCTTCCCTTCCTCCCTCGTCCATCTCTCTTCCCCCTTCATCCTCCCCCTCTCCCACCTTCTTTCCTTCTACTCCTTTTCCTCCACCATTCTTCCTTACCCTCATCCTCTAAATCTCCTTCTCCTTCCCCTTCTCCCTCTCCCTCCGTCTCTCTCCCCTTCCCTCATCTCCTACCCGACACCCTTCTTCCCTCCATCCCTCTTCCCCCTCTTATCCTCCCCTTCTCCATCCCTTTCTCCTTTTCTCCTTGTCTCCCTCCTCCTCTTCCTTACCTCTTCTCTTCCCATCTATGTCCCTGTCTTCGCGCGAAAGCAACAAGTAAATCTCATTTTCCTCCAACCATAAATTCCACAGCATATGACTTAATGCCACGCGAAGCACAGTGAGAGAGAAGGGAGGAAGAACATTAAGGCGGAAAATAAGAAAGAAAGAAAAAGAAAAAAGAGGAAGAGAAGAAAGAAAGAAAAAGAAAAGAGGAAGAGGAGAATAAAGAATGCTAGCAATACTGGAGCATACATTGTAACAATGACAATCTCTTTCTCTCTTTTTTCCTCTCCTCCTCCTCCTTCGCTTTCTTCTTCTCCCCCTCTTTCTCTTTCCCCTTCTCCTTCTCCCTCATGTCTCGCGTCGTCTCAACCCAAGGCTAAAGAGTGTGGGAGTTTGTAGCAAGCTTACTCTTTACCTTTAAAATTCGTGGGGAAAACTCTCTACTACGGTTTTGCCAACTCAAAAAGACACCCCTCTACCACTAGTACCAAGCCGGCGACTCCTCCCCCCCCCCTCCTCCCTCCCTCCTCCCTCCCTCCTCCCTCCTCCCTCCTCCTCCTCATCTCTCTCTCTCTCTCTCTCTCTCTCTCTCTCTCTCTCTCTCTCTCTCTCTCTCTCTCTCTCTCTCTCTCCCTGTGTGTGTGTGTGTTGTGTGTGTGTGTGTGTGTGTGTGTGTGTGTGTGTGTGTGTGTGTGTGTGTGTGTGTGTGTGTGTGTGTGTGTGTGTGTGTGTGTGTGTGTGTCTGTGTGTCTCTTAATCGAGGCATGCGTCACCACAGCTACTATTTTTTTTATCCCAGCTTTCAGAAAAAATTAAAGTTTTCTTACGAGCTAATTAGATACGTAGAAGATAATTAGACATACATTTCTTATCTTTCTCTCTCTCCCCCCTTCTCACTCTCTCTCTTCCTCCCTTCTCCTCTTCTCTCTCTCTCTCTCTCTCTCTCTCATTTCTCTCTCTCAGAATACGCCCAGAAAAAAAAAACACACACCTCATCTCATTTATCTCTCTCTATCCATTTCTCTCTCTCTCTCTCCTTCTTCCTCTTTCTCTTCTTCTACTCTCTCTCTCTTCTCCTCCTTCTCTCTCTCTCATTTTCTCTCCCTCTCTTTAATTTCCATCTCGAGCCTTTAAGAATTCACATTAGAGAACTTAAAACAAAATGCATAAAAAATAGAAAAAAAATGAAAAAAAAGAAACGAACGTCTTTTATTATGCGGACAATAACATAAGACTTCAGATCGATTCTATTTTTTTTTCATTTTTCATTTTTTTTTTCGTTCGGGAGAGATCAAAGGCACTCGGCCGTCTCCTTCTGCTTATTTGTGAATATGGGAGAAGAGGAGGAGGAGGGGGTGAAGGGGGGGAGGAGGCGGAAGAAGAAGAAGGTGAAGAAAAAGAGGAAAGGGAAGAAGAGGAGAAAGAAGGAGAATGACCAAGAAAAATACGGCGAGGAAAAAAAAAAGAAAAGAAAAGAAAACAAGACGTTTAGAAACAGCCTGAAGGGATCCCAGTGCATCGCACCCCCCCCCTTCCCTCCCTCTCAAATCCCATCCATATCCCCTTTACCCCCCTCCCCAATGAACCCATCCCAAGTACCTTCAACAACAAAGCGCGGTGACGCCCATTGCCCCCCCTCCACCCCCACCCACCCCCCCTACACGCCCCATCCTCCTACGTCCACCCTTCACCCTCCAACGCCCATCCCTTCACCCTCCCACAACCCAACCCCCACCCTCACACGCCCGCCCACCCACCCAAGTCCCTCCCACGCCCACCTGACTTATTCATGGGTTGCGAAGTAAAGCTGAGCTACTTTCCACGGGCGGCGGGCGGTGTGCGTCTCTAGTGCATACCTCGCGGGCCTCGTGCTCACTCTCGGTCTTGTGTATTTATCCTGGAAATTTATCCTA